AGGGGTGCGGGGTGCCCTGAGCACCGGACACTCCTGACGTCCCGGCACAGGGGGCTGCTGCTGCCCCACCTCACCGACAGGCCAAGGGACGAAAGGGGCGACGCAGCCAGTGCGTTCTGGAACTGAGCTGGGTCTCCACCCCTCCAGCCCTCGGCCACACTCTTAACCGACTGCGGCGCACAGGTGACGGGGGGGGGGGGGGGGGGTCTGTGGGCAGGTTTCTCGGGGCCCCGGAGAGAGAAGAAAAGGGAATTGCTGGCACTGAAAAATCCCTGGTTTCACAGCAGTCCAGGTCCCTGGAACGAAAGATCTGGCCCCACAGGGCCCACGTGGCCATGGTGAGCCAGGGGGCAGTGGCCCCTCAGGGTGTACCCCGTTCTCTGCAGCCCACCGCAGGGCAAACTGGGGCCCCGTTACTACCACGCTGTGTAACGTCTCACAGCCCCGGGGAGACAGGCTCCCGGGTGCGCCTGAGCCGCGGCTCTGAGGCGCTCAGGGGTACACACGCCTCGCTGTGCGGGAGCCCCGCAGCCACCCCGGGACCCTCCCCACAGCCGCTTCCCACGTCACTCCACTCCCCGCCTCCTCTCCAAGGGACGGTGCATACAGTGGCGCAACATGTGTGCACTTTCTTCCCGTTTCTTGTTTTGTCTTCTTTTAACGTGCCCAGGAGATGTGCTAACCGTTCCCCACCCAAGGAGAAGCTGGTGGGGAAGGCAGAGGGGTAGCGGCTGAGTGTGGGTGTGCGTGCACATGTGTGGGTGTGCAGGCGGGAGCAGGCGTGCGTGGGTGTGCGTGTGCGCAGCATGTGCACGCAGGAGCAATGACACATTCTGTCCTGATAAACACCAAGCGCGCCCCGACGCTGGGCCATGCCGGGCGCTGTGGCTGGCCCCACCCTGACCCTCCGCCCGACCTGAGGTCCAGCCAACACTCGAGCCCTAACTGCACCCCAACCGCAGACCCAGTCCTAAAATGTTGGGGGTTGAAGATCCCAGCTGAGGGGGGTCCCCAGGGGGACACGACGGGCCCTGGACGCCCATAGTTCAAACTGAATCCTGCAATACCGACTTCTTGCGGGTGCCAGAGTCTCTCCTCCAAATAAATGCGAATCCACAAGGAAAACCAAAAACTCCAGCAAGAGGGAGCCCCCTCCCCTCCTGCACACAGCAGGCCCTCCTCCCTGGGGGCTCGGCGAGGAGCGGCTGGTGCAAACCGGACAGCGACCTTGGTCTTTCTGGGGGCCGGTTTCTGAAGGGAACTGAGGCTCTGCCGGCGATTGGGACCTGCCTGCCGTCCTGCCCCCAGCACCCTGCCCGCCCCCACCGGCCCTGCAGAAACCAGGAACTGATTAAAGCAGTGGTTCTCAGCCTGGGGGCGGGGGGCGGGCGGCGGGGGGTGGGGGGGGATGCCCTGCAGGGGACATTGGGCAAAGTCTGCAGACAGTTTGGGTTGTCGCAACTTGGCGGGGGAGTAGATACTGCTCCTGCCGGCGTCTGGCGGGGAGGGGCAGGGGGAGGGGTCGGGGATGCGGAGGAATCACCTGGCCCGGAGGCTGAGACACCCTGCAGTCGAGCGCGAACCCTGAGTAGCCCGTGTCCGGCCAACCACCAGAAGGCCGAGCGTCCCGAGAGTCTCTGAAAGCCGTGCGGGGCTGTGTGTCTGGGGCCAGCGGGCGAGGCCGAACCCGAGGATCGACGAGCGACCCCAGCGGTGTCGGAAAACCGAGCTGCCGCCGCCGCCCACACTCCCCGCAGGGCAGCAGCGTGGGTGTGGGGCCGGGGGCGCCTCCCCGGGCCCTCGAGAAGTGTTGTCACGAGAGCCGGCAGCTGCGTGGCAGACAAGTCAGTCTGTCCAGGGAGCAACTGGCTGCTACCTGCCCCCCAGGAGCAGAAGCTGATGGAGAAAGACGGGGTCATTTTTAAGAGACACGGCTGAACTAAAAGCAGGTCAACGAGAATGCCAAGAAAAAAAAAAATGCGTGCCAAGGGAACTCTTTTCCTCAAAAGGAAGCCGGAGCTAACTCCCCTCCCTGCTGGCTGCGGCCTCGGGTGGGCTGTCACTGGGGGGCCCTGCTTTCAATCCCAAGACCCCTGCTTTTTAAGGAATGACGCATTTTTTCCGCGGGGTGTGTTCTGGGGACAGTGTACTGCCCTCAGACACCACCCCTTGGCTCTCAGAAAAGATGGGGGCCCCCGGAGCCCCTTGGTAAAGTCAAGTCAAGCCTTTCTAGGTGTCTGGCTTCCCCAGAGCCCTCCTACTCACCGCCCCCCGCCCCCCACTCCACCCGCTGCCACCTCCAGGGTGCAAACAGGATGCTGCTCATTTCCTCAAGTCCCCCGAGTTCCAGGTGGACCTACTCTGGTGCCCAAGTTCAGGTTCAAGGGACAGTGTGTGCATGAGCTCCATGAGGAAGAAGAGCCTTGGGTCCAGGTCGAGCGTGGGTTCGGGACCTGGGGCAAAGCTTTCCATCGCCACCCTGCCGCCTCTACAGAATGATGGCGTGAGCCCTGCGTGGGCCCCTTCCAGGTCCGACACGGGGGCAACCGAAGACCACAGCAGCACTGTGGGAACGAGGACCCCTCCGGCCCAGAGGCCTCCAGCCGGAGTTGGGAGCGCAGAGGCCCCATCCCGAAAGGAAGGGCGGTACAATTTCTGCCTCGTGGTCTCATGTTTCAGGTGAGGAAACGGAGGCCCAGGCAGCAGCTCCGAGGGAGGCCCTAACAAGGGCAGCGACCCCTCCCAGGAGCACAGCCCCCCCACCCCACCCGGCAGCCCAAGTCCAAATCCATCCGCAGCTGTGCTGTCTACCCTGTGAACACCCAGGACCCACCCTTCAGTTCCTCTCCTTTCTCCCTTCTTCCTTCCCCTCTCTCCCCTCCCTATCTTTTTGTGTAAAACCCAGGCCTGGAGGCTTCCTCCAGCAGACCCTTCAGTGAAATCTGATTAGCACTGGCAACAAACTGTTACATTATACCTGGGTTTTAAAGCTGCTTCCTCCTGCCCTGGGCTTTCTTCCAGTAAGTAGGGGGCCCTGCGTAAAAAAGACACGGTGACTAATGGGCCGCCCCCCGGGGGGCCAGCGGGGCAGGCCAGGGTTCCAGGGCTACCCTCAAGGGTCCCTGCAGGCAATGGGTTTGTCCGCACCTCAGTGTCAGCTGAAATATTAGCCAAAGAAGAGACAGAAGTGAGAATGAATGTTTTTAAAAAGTCCTGGGCCCAAAGAAAGGACAAGAGCAGAAAGTCTGACAGTGCCCAGCCCTCAAGGTGACAAGTTTGACACAACGTGGACCCCCTGGGCGGGAGGTCTCCTGTGCAGCTTTGCAGAAGGGGGTGGGGGGGCTAAGAGCAAGGCACGGAGGGGCCCGAAGCAGCAATCCATTTAGCAGCGGCGAGGCTCTGTCCAAACATGTGCAAACATATTTTAATAACATCCTCTCGTGCATTTCATTAGCCTCCCGAGTTCACAAAGGGCCTTTGGGAGGCAATCTGGTTTAAATGCAACTCAATTCCGCAAACGCTGGCTCTCTGGGCAGGTTCTCCTGGCACCTCGCTGCCCTGGCGCAGGGCAACTGGGTGCAGGGGGGCGGGGGGAGCGACGCTCTTAATTCCTGGACTGGAGGGAGTGGGGCGAGGTGAATGGTAGGACCCACCAGTACCCGAGTCCGCCAGCCTGCCCCAGCCGGGCCGGTCACGGGTTATTTTTACCCCTCGCGCCTCACTGTACAGGCTCAGGGGCCGAGAACCGTGGCAGCCGCCTGCGGAAACTGGCTTATGAGTCACCTAGTGACTGCCCTGGCTGGGTGGCAGCTGCCTCTTGGCTCCTCGTTCCAGCTGGAAGGCCGGGCCTCGCAGGACAGGGCCGTGTGGCCCTGGCCCGAGGTCCTCGGTGGGGGGGGGCCAGGATGGGGAAACCGAAGTTCAGAGAGGCAAGGGGTCCTCAGAAGGGCCGGCTGGGGGAGCAGTGTCCGCCAGAAGGCAGACCCCGGGGGGTGGCAGCCAATTCCCCCATCCCACCACACCTCCACCTAGGTGGGCTGTGTAGGGGGGGAGGACAGGGGGAGTCAGACTGAGCTTCACGCAGTCCCCTCCCTACCCGCGGCCCACCTCCCCGGTCAGGGTCAGGGCCGGGCCGACCGGAACACAGACAGCCCCAAACTTTGACTCATTTGTAACCACTGTCCCAGTGAGACTGAGCCAAGCTGTCCAGACAGAGGATATTTATAGGTGCGTCGGGGACACAGACACTCACACAATGACACGCATACTGGAGATCCACGTTGGGCCAGACCCACTGGGGCTGAGCCCTGGGTTCAGACACCTGGACACAAACGGTCCCCAGACCCACCAGAGAGGAGCAGCAGACGCAAGGAGACTCGCCAGCACGACCTTCTGGGACAGACGGCCACCCAGACCCAGACACACACACACACACACACACACACAGCCGCGCTGAGACCCAGAGACACAGACACGCACGCTCCACAAACGCACGGAAACCCACTCACATAGACCAAGGCACACAGCGCCACGCACACTCCAGACACACAGCCGGAGACCAGACACCTCGCGGGCCAGACAGTGTCTCACACGCCCGCCACCCCCCTCCCAGCCAAAGTTGATCTAGAGCCGGCCTAATTGGTCCATCGCGACTGCCCCTTCGGGAAATAAAATGGAAACTTCACGCAGCCGCCCGCCCCAGCCCTCTCTCGCCCGGCGCTCCGCGGCCCTCCACTACTGGGTCCGGGGTCCGAGACCCTGAGGGCGGGGCGCGGGCAGCGGGGGCCGTTCCAGGCTCGCAGCGCCGCGGGACAAAGCCGGGCCGGCCGCCAGCTGCCGCGAGCCGGGAGGGCGCGTCCGGGGCGCGGCGGGCGCAGCCGGGGCGCAGGGCTCACGGCCCGTGGGGGCGCGCACAGCCCGGTCCCCCGCCCGCAGCTGCGCCTCGCCTCAACGTCTGAGCCCGATGGGGCCTCCGGGGAGGGGGGCGCGGGGTCACTCACTGATCTCCATGCTCTGGAACAAAGAGCGTTTGCAGTTGCACGTGCAGGAGACATTGGGCTGCCCGGCGGCGGCGGTGGCGGTGCTGTTGACCCCCATCAAGCGGTGCATGGACGGCGTGGCGGCGCAGCGCGGGGCGCAGGGGGCACGGGGGCGGCCGGGGGGGGCTCCGGCCGGCGCCCGGTGCTCGGGCCCCGCATGCAGAAGGCGCGCGGCGGGGAAGGCGCGCCCCGGCTCGCCGGGCTCGGGACGCCGCCAAGTTTCCGGGGCGCCGCGGGACTCAGTGAGCGGGGCCGCGCTCCCCGGCGCCCCCCGGCCGCCCCTCCGCAGCCCCGGGGGCGTCGGCAGTGCCCGCGGGTGGCGTCCGCGAAATGGGCTGGCAGCCGGGGCGCGCGGTGCCGCCGGGGCTGAGCCTCTGCTGCTGGCTTCCCCCAGCCGAGCGCCTCCTCCTTCGCCGCCGCCGCCTCCTCCTCATTCAAGTCCAAGGAGATCGGGTTTCGCTCCGAGACCGCGGTCGGAGGCAGGCAGACGGTCTGACGTCAGCGCTAGACGGGGCTGCCGGTTCCCACCGCGCGGGGGCCGGGGAGAGGGCGCGCGCTGCGCCAATCCCCGGCGAGGTTCCCCCGTACCCCCTCCCCGGGCCGCGGGGCGGGGTGACGGGGAAGGGGGCGGGCTCTTAAAGGGCCAGGAGGTGGCGGCCCCATAGACCAGGGACCCGCGCAGCGGAGGGGCTTTGGGTCCCCTTCCTAAAGGAGTCAGTTTGGGACCCCTGCCCTCCACACCCCAGTCCCGGGGAAGCAGAACCGGGTTCCAGCCGCACTCGCGGGAGTGCGCTCCCCACCCCCATGCATCCCCCTCCCGCGGCCGGGTCCTTGACCTAGACTTTGGGGGAAGATTGTCCCCTCCAAGGAGCTTGAGGTCCCTGCGGCTCGCGGCAGGGGAAGTTAGAGAAGGGAGGGGCTGTCCCCCACATCACCCATCACCCGACTGCGCAGCAAACTCGCCGCCTCCAGGTGCGCTGCCCCGCGAGGCCCCTAGCCCACTTCGCCCAGGCGCACTTCAACCCTACCCCAGTGGGCGCGAGTGGGGATACTTGAGGTCACGTGGACACGCCCCCGACAGCTCCGATAAATGCCTGGGGGCCCATCACGTAAACAGTCCCGGAGCCTCCACGCAGTGGCAGATTCCAAGATCAACCCAGGTCACCTGCAGGTCTCCCCTCCCCCCGCCGCCCCCATATCTAGTTCTTTGAATATTCACCTGTCCCCGTAGTGCCTCGAGGTTTAGTAATGAGCAGAGACTATTTCCGTGTTCAGGGGCAAAGGGGGTCCAAAAGTTACTATTTCCTTTTCCTACACTGGGACCAGCCAGAGTCTTGCTGAATTTGGAAACAGCCAGCCCAGGAAGTGGGTGAGTTCTCTCCCTGCAAGGGGCACAACAATGCCCCTGGCTCTGTCCGCAGGCAGGCAGGAAACTGATTTTCTGGAGGGGTGATAGGCGGGTTGAAGATTCATGGGGGAGCCCACCGGCGTCCAGTACACAGGGAAGTTCAAGGGCCCTGACCCTCTTTGTGTGGGATGAGAAGCTCCACCTTAGAGCTAGGCCTCAGCCCCAGGGCCCCAGGTGGGGAGAGGCCTCCCCGCCTACTTCGAAGGGCACCCCTACTGTGAGCTGGGCAGTCTCAGCCCCCACCTTGTGAAGGGGTCAATTTCACTGGCAGGTCCACAGAAGGGGGAGGGGACAGGTCTTGCTGCAATGTGGCCTCTGCAGCTTGGAGAAAAAGCTGAAGGGGGGAGGTCCCAAAGGCTCTTTGGGGGAACCCTGACAATGTTGGATGGGTCTGGGGGTGACTGTGGGTCCCACTCATTTCCTTGGCCAAAGGAGACCACCCCCACCCCCATCCCCACCCCCATAGCCGCTCCTTCATTCATTCAATCAACAAACTCTCCCCGAGCTCCAGCCTTGGGGCGGGAACTCAGCCATGCCAGGCAACACCCCTGCCCTCCTCTAAGCCTCTCGCAGACGTCCGGCCTGCCTGGCAGCGAAGAAACACACGTTGATTGTCTTGGAAATGAGGCAGCAATTGTACAATCCAGGTTACACAGCCGGCAGGCGAAAATAACCAGTTAATTCAGTGGGGGAGGAAAAAAAAATACCCACGCTGAGCCCTGGACGGCCTGTCTGGGACAAGAGCACTGGCCGTGTTTACTGAGTGCCTGCCATGCGACACCACTGTTCTGGGGGTGGCACCTGGGACTGGTTAGTGGTCTCTGCCCTGCTTCCCGACTTGGCTCTGCTGGAAGGCCTGACGCAGGGTGCCAGGCATGGTGGTCACAACTGTCTCTCCAAAGCTGTGCGCCAGGCGCCGCCCTGATGGGGGGGGGGGGCGAGACCACCCGAGCCCACGGGAGGGAGGGAAGGAAGTTTCCTTCATTCGGTCAGCAAACATTACGCCCCCTATTCAGGGCCAGACTCTGTGCGGGGCACTGGGCACCCTGTCATCCTGTGACATGGTGGGGGACAGGTGAGACTGTCCCCCACAGCTGCCCGTAGCTACACGAGGTCCCTTCAGATAGGGCAATGATGAGCCGGAGGCCTGGTGGGTGGGGAAAGCCACCCGAGGAGGTAGCCTTCCCCCCCCCACCCCCCACCCCCCCACCCCCCCGCCCATAATTTACTGAGCAGCTACCTAGGGCCAGGCACCATTCCCTGCCCTCCCGGGGCTCGTGTTCCTGCAGGTCTGTTGACCTGCAAGTCCAGGTGGTGGCGTCAGAGAGGGACGAGGGCTGGGACGATGACGGAGAGACCTGGGCTGGGCTCCGCTGGCTCCCAAGGGGTCCACGGGGCCTCTCAGGGGAGGCCCCAGAGCTGGGAGGGAGTCTCACACCAGGGCCGTGGGTGCCCAGGCCAAAGGCCTTGGCGGAGGAGGGACCAAGGGACCCTCAAGGTCCCAGGAAGTCTGGGATTTGGGACACACTGCCCAACCCAGTCGGTTACAGGTCATGGGACTGTGAAGAGCGTGTGTGTCCCCAGGCGGCTGCCGGAGACACGCCTTCCTGGGCCTCCAGATGGCACGTGTGCTGTCTGCCCCGAGTGCGGGGTGGATCGGCCCCAGGGGGACCTTTAGACAGACAAGTCTGGTCTGAGCCGGTCAGGAGGCCTGGCGGGGCCGGGCTCAGGGGCCAGGCCCCTCCACAGCGGTGTGACTGGCGTGGGCCCCGCAACCCACGCTCGCTTTCCTGCTCTACTATCACCAGCTTGAAACTCTTCACTGATAAGTTTGAACGAGGGGACTCGCAGGTCCTGTAGTCTGATCTCCGTGGGTGCCGGGACTCTCGCTGGCAGCCAGTGGGGAACCTGGGGAAGCCAGCCAGCCAGCGCGGGGTCTGGCTGCGGCCGGGGGCGGCCAGCCGGGCCCTGGCGGCGCCTGTGGGCACCGTGCAGAGCACCGGCTAGTCAACAAAGGGCCCGCTTTGACAGCGGGCGGCGGGCAGCGGGCAGCAGCCGGCGGCCTCCTCCCATCCAGCCGGGCCAGGTTAGGTTCCCCTCACCTCCTGCCGCCCCCAGGCCTGGGGCCAGAACTGCCCTTCCAGAAGCATCTCAGGCAGCCCCAGAGGGTTCACGCCCTCCCTACTGACTGAGCACCTTTGGGAGCCCCCGCCTGCCGAGTCATTCTTTTCCCGCGCCCTGGCCTCGGGTTAGTTGGCCCGTCAACATGCCCCAGTTTAGATCTTTAGAGTTCATTTTTTTTTTTTTTTTTGGTTCTTGTTTGGCTTTTAAACAGGAACGAGAGCTAATAATGTTCACTGGATGCTGCGTGGGAGCTGGTCCCTGCCCCAGCGCCTGCGTATTCGTCCGCGGCGTCATTCAGCACGTATGCGCTGGGTCCTACAGCCAGCCACGGTAGCTTGGTGGGTCCCCAAGCAGCCCTGTGAGGCCCCAGGTACTATGATTGGCACTCGACAGAGGCGGATACTGAGGCTCAGGGACCCCGGGGTGAGGTGGAGTGGGACGGGACCACTGGTGGTTGGGCCCCAGAGCCCGGCCTCAGCAAACGGCATTTATACCCCCGTCACCTCTGCTAGGGTCTATCCACCCTGGCCTTCCCGCTGGGGTGGGCTGGGGCGGGCAGCAGCAGCCCCTGGGTGCCCCGGCGGCTTCCCGCTGGCTGGGGAGGGTAAGGCGGAGACTAAACCCAGACAGGATCCTCTGGGCACCCGCTACCAGCACCCCATACCCCATGTGAGTGACCTTAGCGGGTCACTTGGCCTCGAAGATCCTGAGTGTCCTCCCCCCAAATGGGTGTGGAAACAGAGTTTCAGAGGGGGGTGTGTACGCGTGTGCCCAGGCCTCAGCGCAGTGGCCAGCGGCCTCGAACACCTGTGTCTGGGTGTTCACTGCCTCTCTGCCCGAGACTGGCACCCCCAGGGGGGCAGGACGGCCCGACTTGTCCTAGCGCGCCCCAGGGGGTGCCGGGATCTGGGTCTGTGGTACAGCGGGTGCTCGGCAGACCTCTGGGGAGCAAACGAGCGGCACCCACTCACATAAACACGCAAGTGTCACGTGGAGCTCCCCTCGGCTCCTGCTCACCATTCTGTCTTCCTTGCTCGCTCACTCCCTCCACCCCCAAACATCTCCTTTTGTCCTGTCCCTTGGATACCCACCTAGTGACACGCTTCTAACCAAGTCTGGAAAGCCAGGCACCTGGGCCAGCACCTACCAAGGACAAGTATTTGCCTGGTCCCAGAGCACAGCCGGGAAGTGCGCTCTTCACCATGAAGTTGATGGGGGAGGGGGGCTGGGGGTGTGTAGTCTGTGTGTTGTGGGTGCCTGGGTGTGCACACAGGGGTGGTATGTATGTGTGGGGTGTGCCCGTACTCGAGCTGTGGGGGCGGGTATGGTGCATTGTGTGTTTTGTTGGTTGTGTCCTGTACGTTTGGGTGTCGATACAGGAACTTAGCTCGTGGTCAAAGGTCACATGGTTGAGCTCCCCAGCAGCAAGCCAGAGAACTCTGCTGCACCTGCACGGGTCCCAGATTCCCCTCCCCCCACCCTCCCACCCGGGACCCGTCTCCTCTCCGCTCCAGCTTCTCATTTCCAGCAGGAGACTGGTCTCCACAGAGAAGACAGGGCTTTGGGACCCAGGCAGAGAGATGAGGGGCGGAGAGCAGGAAAGGACAGAAGGAAACACTTCTGACAGAGGGGTAGACTGAGCCCCACTCAGGGACGTGACTTGGCCAAGGTCAGGCTGCTGGTCCGTGCTCATCTGGGGCTGGAACCACATGTCCCGAGCCAGCTTTGCAGGTGTTGAAATGTCCCTGCTGTTTTGAAAGGGCCGTGGGCTGCCTTGTCTTGTTCCTCGCTGCGCCCACAGCCACCAGCATCAGCGGGCTCAGGGCATACCCACGGGGTGAACGCAAGGCCATTTTGCAATGTGTATTAGGCCCTAAAAGTATGAGCGTCCTCACCCTCTGGTTTTTTTCCTAGGACATAGTGTCAGGAAATCATCAGAGAACGGAGCATTCAGGGCAAAAATATTGATCTTGCCTTCATGTTTGAAAGCAGAAAGGCAACAAAATTAGGGGAAGA